CCTGCCCTGTCCGAGCCAGACCCTTATAAGACCCTGGGATAGGAACCCAGCTCTACTGATTAAAGTAAAGAACCCAAAGAAGTGAGCGGTGGTGGAGTGGCGCACAACGAAAAGGGCACAAAGGAAATGAGCGGTTACACTGGAATCATCTTCCATTCACACAGAGTAGTACACTTTCATGTATTATGCGAAAATGGCTAGTTTCATAAGTTACTGCCACAAAGAAATTGGTCTACTAGAAAAAATTCTGTTCTCATTTTGATTTTCAAAATGTTTATAAATTTTCATCTTGAACTCCTCGAATAAAAAAAAACATTCTTGCACATGCCTTAAGTATTGAAGGGGTGGGTTACCCCATGCACTGCGACCAGTTTGATCTATTGTGTGTTCCCCCTTTGAATTTCTACTGTCTCCATACCCTACCGCTACTGGTGCTTGATATCGTTACTTTCTGCCAGCAAGGTTTCGGCCTTCTACTGGCAGTGATACCTAATAGTTAGTCCCTTTCTGTCAGTGAGGTCGTCCCTCCTCTGGCAGTGATACCTAAGCTCCCCCATCTACCAGAGGCATTGGAAACTACTTGGGCGGGAAATGTTGCCTAATTTAGCTCAGAGGTCTCCTAGAGACATGAGGTTCTTTTACGTGCCGTAAATCTATGACACAGGATCCACGGCTTAAAGTCCCTCCCGGAGAACTTGTTCCCTGAATTTTTCTGCCCTTAAAAATTCCACGACCTCCACCGGGTTTGAACCCGCATACCTTGAGTCATGAGGTGGGAACATTACCCCTACACTAAGGCACATGAGCAATGGGAAAACGTCAAGTTCTGCCAAATACAGGCAAATCTAATACCGAATTATTTCAGATGATCAAGCAAGTGTATGGCGTAGAAGCCTTGGGTCGCAGTGCTGTGTTTAAGTGGCACAAACGTTCTGCACAGAAGAGAGACAGTGTGAAAGATGATGAGGATATCAGTCAGCCAAGAACAGTCAGAATCGAACTCAAGATCCAAGATGTTGCAATGTTGGTGCGTTCCAACTATTCCCAAATGGTAGATGAAATCACAGCAGCAGCAGCAGCAGGGATCATCCATGGTACTTGCCACAAAATTCTGTCTGATGACCTGAACATTTCTTGTGTTCCATGCATTGTGATGCAAGACCAACGTGACAATCACATGAGTATTTGTGGTGACCTGATTAACAGTGCTGACAAAGATGAGACATTTCTCAACCACATCATAACAGGAGACAAACCATGATGTTTTCTGTACATTCCGCAACTAAAGCGACAATCGGTCACCTGGAAACTGCCATCACCAAGGAAGAAGAAACTGCAACAGGACAGGTAAAAAGGCAAGGTAATGCCTAAACTGTTTTTCAACTCATCTGGAACTGTTCACATGGAATTCATCCCGGAAAGATTGATTGTAAACAAGCATGATTACAAGGAAATCCTTTGCTGTCTACAGAATTCAATTCATCATTAAGTGTTCAGAACTTTGACGCAGGAAGAACTGGCTGTTGCCACATGATAACACCTCAGCACATCACTCTGTGCTTGTCCAAGAGGAGCTGGCAAAACAACAGGTCACCCTTTCGCCACACCCTCCATACTCATCTGATCTTGCACCACGAAATTTCTTTTTCTTTCCCTGCTTGAAAGAAAAGTTACATGGGTGTCGATTTCAGTCAGTGGAGGAGATCGTCACTGCCACAAGGGAAGCCGTACAGGACCTTCCTGCAAATATGTTTCAGCAGTGTTTTCAGCAGCTATACCAATGTTGGCAGACATGCACAGCAGCCAACAGCAACTATTTTGAGGAAGGGATATGGGTAACTGCATGCGAGTATCTTGTAATATGGTGCAACAAAACCATAGTCCACGAAATTACTGAGACTGTAGTAGTATGAGGTCAAATAAGGCATCATACTCACATGAAAAACAGACAAACAAAGAGTGAAACTGAGCAAGATGGCTCAAGCAGTAATACTTCTGACTTGCATTCTGGAAATGCCCAATAACTATCTGAACTGATGTGGATTTCCTCAGTTCCTCCAGGCAAATGATATGATGGTACAGTAAAGATGGCCACAACCATCTCCTTCCGCATCCTTTCCAATTCATGGTTTGCTGTCATTCAATCATTTATCAATGTTTCACATGAGTTACTGACAATGTCATTAAATAAACTATAAACAAACAAATTCATCTGCACCTACAGACCACACCAAACTATTCCTTAATGAAAAATGACACCGAAATGTCCCTTGATATGGTGGGATTATGAACAGATGCAAATTGAGTGAGTACTTCATGCTTTTTGTTCAGGGGAAAAAATGTTCATTTTAAAATATTCTGCACTATGAACTAAAACTCACAATGAACTGCATAATATGTATCTGCCTGTCATGCCTGTCCCACAGGTCACATACTGTGTGGCTGCCTGATTCACAATATAGAAAGCATGTTAATGAGTTCCAGCTTGACAGTTAGAACACCATGTACTCTGCTGAAAGTGAATCGATGTTTCAGAGAAATATGTGGACACCATCTTCAGGGTCAAAGAATAAGCCATGCAAGAAACCAGCATCTACCCGGTAGCAAGCAGATCTCTGCTTATTCAGTGACCTTAAGATGGAGATAAAATGTTTCTTCAAATGATGGTTGACTTTCAACAGACAGCACGTCATTGTCTCCAAGAAGACAGAACTCTTTATAGCCACAGCTGTGAGACCACCAAAGAAGTAAACAGAAAGCATGATGTTAAGTATCAACTCACAGCCATGATTTTCTCCCCACGTAGGATGTGTCGCAGGATGGCCAGCATCGACTCTGACATGCGTGCTCCATATGATTTCAATGGCTTCTTGCCCCACATCAACATGACTGCATCAAAGGCAAGCTGAAAATGGACATTATTTCCCATTTCTATGTACATCAAGTATTTTTATATTTCTCTACATCATTTATAACATAATCTTGACTTAAAAAACATAAAAATGACAGATCATAAACATGAATCTGCGAAATTACATTAACTACAATAACAAGACTAAGAACAATGTACAGTACTTACTCTATGAATTGCCATCAAGTACTTCAATGGATCAAAGGGCTTGTAAATTGCACCATGCTTCATTGTGATAGTGTGTGGAGAGTCAAGGATTGCTTTTGGATTCACCATCTTTTCAAGCAGCATCAACCAAGCATCCAAGAATTCACCAGTTCCATCAGTCAGGTCTGGGTGCTCAAGGCCCTCTTCAACATTTATGGTTAATCCATTTGAGAGTGCCCAACGGAATGTACTATTGACAAAAATATGGAAAACATTTTTCACCAACACTGATTCTCTCACTATCCAAGCTACATATTCAGCCAAGTAAAACCTCCTTCTTGAGCTCACTAGCATAACAATGTTAGGTGTCCTCTGAAATAATGAAAGTCCAAGTTATTTAATAACTCGGAAATGACTTTTCTTACCTCTCAGATCCAAATGCAGTGAAACACTTGCTTCACATTTCTTTGGGGATCAGTGCATGTGAACATTAAGCTGACAAAAATCTTAATAGAAGTAATTTAAGACAGATTATTGATTTTGTATAATTGGAAATGAATAGCAAATGAAGGAAAATGATGAACTAAGGAGCATTAAACAGAGGTTCCACTGCATTTCACATAATACTGTTTTAAAAAAAAGTGAAAAATGTGAAGTTGGCCACCCATGTATGTCACCCACATTTTCTTGAAACTGGCAAAATACAAATAGACAGACAAACAAATGTGGTGAAGCTTATATAAGCATTTTCTCAATTTTTGCATATGCACGAGGTGGTGGTGTCTAGATCATTTTTAAAATCTCCTAGTTCCATGCAGTAATACAGTAAAAACCCAATTTAAGGAATATGTACTGCTTGTTTTCCCTCATTTAAAGTATAGTTTTGTGGTACCAGCTAAAGTTAATATGCCTAATACATTACTATCCTTGATTTACATGCTTACCCTTGTATATGCATAAAACTTTGATTCCTATATGTTTCACATCTCATTTTAGCATGGAAGGGAGTTGTTTTTCACGTTCCAATTAAAGTGTGGCCACCCTTGTATAATTCAAGGTCATCATTTGTATGGCATACACTGCAGGATAGCTGTCTGCCCATTAGCTCATATATTATGTTTCTGGACACTATCCATCGTCCTGATCTTATCTAAAACACAATCTTACATCCAGTCTGACTGATCGGAAGTGGGACAATGTCACGACAGGTGGCAAGCCTGTAGTTTTCTGGAGACATAAATTTGTCTTTTGACATATGAAGCCATCACAATTTATCTTCAGAAGAGTACAGCAAAACCCACTGTTACAGAAGATTACTTCCAAGTGTGAGGTTAAAGTTGATATCTTGGAACAGTTTTGTTCTCAAGAATCACATGGATTAGTTATGCTGGTTGCATAATGACTCTGGCTACTTAAAATCAGCCAAGTGGAGACAAATTCTTGCCTGGGAAGAGGATGTTATCAATTCAGATCATTGTGGGGGATGAAGCGACAGTGCCCCAACACTTGCACCCCTCAACCCACCAGAGTCAGCTATAATTTTCCTATGCCCCTCACATGTACCTAAATTAATCAGCACTTGATTTTGGAATATAAAATTCTGATAATACACGGTGGGGCGCAGAAACATCCTTTTTTTGAAGGCGAATGAAAGAAAAATTATTGCTGATAGAAAAAATTTATGTTTAGCTAATGAAAGAACATACAGTAGAACCTCGTTTAACGAGCACCTCTCATAACGAGCAAAACAAATTGTAAAAAAATGAATCACTTAACGAGCGACGTTTTCCATAATGAGTGACGAGAGGGGAAGTCCCGGATTGTGCGCTTGCTAAATCAGTCTGTGTTTAACACTCGTTCCGCTAGCATCTTAGTCTCGCTTGTGATCACACATTTTTCCAAACTTGGGTTCAGACATATTATTTGTGATTTTTCTGTGTAAAGTTTAATAACCTTTGCAAAAATGTCCCCGAAGAAAAAGCCGCAAAAAGACAGCCATAAGAGAATAAAAATAACTGTAGAAATGCAACGCTGTCATTGAAAAGGAAGAACTAGGTGTGAGCGTGGCTGATCTAACATCCACATACCATCAGTCTACATCAACGATGTGCACGATTTGGAGTTGCATTGTGTTTCACAGCAAGAAGCTGTGGACGAGAGTTTGTCAGTGGAGGTAACAGCAAAGGAACAATCTTCTGGCACAATAAGAGAAATGCTGAAAGCATGTGAAACTGTTGCACAGTACATTGAGAAGCATCACCCTAATAAGGCAGTGGCTATGCGCGCTACAAATTTATTTAATGATGATAATGCTGTGTCGCATTTTCACCAAATTTTGAAGCGTAGGCAAAAACAAATGTCTCTAGACAGCTTTCTAGTAAAAAAGAATTAGATATGTATCATAAGTAATAAACTAATTACTTCGATTCTTTTTTGTTTTTTGCAAATTGAATTTGCATTCCAGGTTGGTTCATTCTACATAGAAGAAAAGATGAAGATGATTCACGCTTATTAACAATGTATATATAATTTTCTTTGAATAAACGTTATACATAAAATTTTTTTAGTATTTTTTTCGGCAAGGAATGTATTTTACATTAATTTATATGGGAAAAATTGTTTCGCTTAATGAGTGTTTCGCATTACGAGTAAGATTCTGGAACGAATTATGCTCGTTAAGCAAGGTTCCACTGTACTTTAAAGTTTTAAATCATGTAATTTTAAACAAAATATCTTGAAGGTGGTGGCCACTGTTCTCTATGCACTGATGCAACCGTTTTCTGAGGTTCCCCTCTGCACGTTCTAACATTTGAACTGGAATTTGGGCTACTTCCTGCCGAATAACATTCTTCAGCTGAAGCAGGTTTGTGGGGTGATATTTAAAAACCTCTGCCTTGAGGTAAAAAGTAAGTAAGTAAGGCTATCCCTGTAACAGGCCATGAAGGCCCATGGGGTTGTGAGATGTTGAGGGTCCCACATTATCTAGACAATTGGCTCAAAGATGGCGGTAAGGTCGTCAGCCTTGCACGCCGGTCGCGCTTTACTCCACAGGAAAATTATTTATTTAATTCCTGGTACATTTCTGTTACAGGCTGAGTGAACCCCAGGGACACAGTGCGGCCAGAAGGATTAGGTCAGCTGAATAAATCCAATGACCTCATCGGTATTTGAACCCACGACCTTCTGACTTGTAGCATAGTGCCTTAACCACTATGCTCCTGCGTGCCCCCCTGCCTTGAGGTATCCCCATAAAAGAATCACAGGGGGTTAGATCAGGTGAGTGCGCTGCCCACAGGATGTCACCTCAAAGCAAGATGAGACGTCTGGGGTACTTTGCCCTCAAAACTGTCATCGAAGCTCGGGCTGTGTGGGCCGTGGCACCATCCTGTTGGAACCAGACATTGCCTAGATGCATTTCTTCAAGAGCTGGTTCAAAAAAGTTTTTAATCATATCCACATACCGCTGTGAATTGACAGTAACTGCATGACTGTCTTCTTAAAAAAAATAAGGGCCAATAACTCCAACTCTTGACAACACACACCATACTGTCACGTTATCACTTTGAAGTGGCCTCGCATGGAGCTCTCTGGGATTGTTACGACTCCAATAGTGCATATTCTGCTTGTTGACATATCCGGATAGGTGAAAATGTTCCTCATCACTAAAGCAAACAAGTGAGTCAGGGGGTAAAGTTTCCAATAACGTTTCCCACGCTGTCTTATAGGGACGGAAATGATGATGTTCATGAAGAATTCAGCGCATTGAACGAATGGATATGTCTAGGGCGACTGCATGTTTGCGAGCAGAGCGTCTTGGAGATCTCAAAATCGACTGTCGAAGTGCCTCCACATTTTCTGGCATCGTAACGGTCCGTTGTTATCCTGATGATTTTTTCACCACACTCCCGGTTGTCCTAATGTTCTCTACCCACAAAACAATCGATTTCTGGTCGGGAACCGGACCTCTGGGCTTAATTCCAAAGTGAGTATGGAACGCACGCTGCACCGCCACGTAGGAATGGTTGTTCGAAAAATAGGCTTCAACAGCAAATGCATGCTGCTCACTTGTCCACCTCATGTTTCCTACTGAGGGGTACTAGACAGAAACTTCCGCGACTGCTGCGTTTGCCAAGCCTATCCCCACTTTTCTGTGATCTCCCCTCCCTTCACAATGCGTCTTCACAAAAAGGAAGTTTCTGCACCCCACCCTGTATTAAGAAATCACATATGCATTGCTTGAGCAGAGAAATTTCTAAAGTTTCACTGCCAATTAATAAACAATCTATTAACAGCGGAAATTCTTGCTGTGACTGGGAACGGAGGACTAGCCTCTGATCTGCAAATTCCACTTGCCTAAGTTACTGCTCCTACATGAACTGAGACAAGCTTCATGTTCTGCTGAGGTGGCACAAAAGTTAAAAGGACAGGACAGTGGTAAGACTTAAAAGTATATTAAACATAATGGAGTCAACCACAAACAGCCAATAACACCCACCAACAACTTCAGAACACTTACTCAAAAAATGCATTCTGTCCTCCTAATTGGACAAACTTCTGCAACATTAAATGGTATGGATACTTCTTCTCATCAAACAACATTGGAGATGTAAATCCAACAGAGCATATCAGGAATGTCAACCTATGAAAACAAAAAAGTATAAAATAAAACACCCAACATATCTGCATAATAATGCTTCCTCATTCACTCTTAGATTCCATAATATCTAGTTATCACTTCCACCTGCTGTGCTGAATACAGAGTGAAACTCTTAGTGCAAGCCTGCCTGGAACAATATTATATTTAAGCATCCTGTTGCACTCTACACGATAAGTGATACAAACTCCGTCCCAAGTGCAAACAATATATATTATATGTCTTTGATCTTGCTCTCTTCTACACTACATGTTTCGGCCTCTAACGGCCATCATCAGGTGTATACTCTTACGTTGCTGCCACACTGAACCCAGTCTAAAATTTAACATTTAAAAAACACATTGTTATTTTCCTCGTTATTATCAACATCTACCTCGTTGATATCTGTCTGGCATGTAGATTATTTTGCACACGTCAATTTTGATTTTCCTGTAGCAGCACTATAAAATCTTTAGTTATAATTTTAAAATCCTTTAAAATTTTCTCTAAATTTAAAATTTAAAATTTAAAATTGTTAGGGTTACTCGCCCTATGTCTAAAGTGATGCAGCGGCTAGTTCTTGTTTCCACACTGTACAGGTGTACACTGTACATGTAGTGAAGACAAGCAGCGGCATGCACACAGGAAGACTACACAGAATAACACCTGCAATCCTCCTCATGTTCAGTTCCTCTGACAAAAGTCATTGACATGTACCATAACTTAGTCCCAAGGTGTTACAGAGGTCTTCGATGGTCAGTCTATGATCTTGCAGAATCAGATCCCTAACTTTTGCGACATTTTCTGGTGTGGTGCCAGTTGATGGCCAACCTGAATGATCGTCATCATCAGTCGATGTTCAGCCATTTTTAACACACTGCGGACCGGTGGTTTAAACATTTAAATCACCCTGGGGACAGGCGTTTTTAAACCTACTACCCTAACTTGTGCACTGTTCACTTTAAAAATTAATATA